CTCTTTCCAAAAAACCAATGAATCAAAAATAAATGCAAACCTAGATTAGGAATGCTGATTACCATCACAGAAGCACACTATCTGACCAAGAGAAAAAAGAAGGTGGAAGCTGTATACCAAAAACCTATACAGAAGGAACAAAAGGATTACAGACTCTCTTTGAAGAATCCTGTGACAAAGAGCAGTTCTAGAAACTGAAGTGAAAGCTTCTCTGAAAACACTAGGAAGAATTAAATCACCAGGCGTAGATGGAATATCAATAAAACTCATTCAAGCCATAGCCAATGCATTTCTCAAATTTCTAACAAGAATATCTCAACAAATATGGAAAACAAAGGCCCGCAGACTGGAATAATAAACTCCAATTCCCAAGAAAGGAGATTCCAAGGGAAACTGAAGTGAAAGCTTCTCTGAAAACACTAGGAAGAATTAAATCACCAGGCGTAGATGGAATATCAATAAAACTCATTCAAGCCATAGCCAATGCATTTCTCAAATTTCTAACAAGAATATCTCAACAAATATGGAAAACAAAGGCCCGCAGACTGGAATAATAAACTCCAATTCCCAAGAAAGGAGATTCCAAGGAGTGCATATAATAGGACCATTGCTTTAATTTCTTATGCATACAAAGTGATGCTCAGAGGTGTTGCAACAAAGGCTTTTACCTTATATGGAATAAGAAATGCTTGATGGTCAAGCTCAATTTTGAAAAGAACTTGAGAGTGTATTGCAAATATTCACTAGCTACTGGAGAGCACCAAAGAATTCCAGAAGGTCAAGCTCGATTTTGTAAAAAACTTGAGAGTGTATTGCAAATATTCACTGGCTACTGAAGAGCACCAAAGAATTCCAGAAGAAGATCGCTGTGTGAAAACTTCGTTAAACGGAAAGTAAAAAGCCATTGGAACGCATTAAACATCGTTGACTGAAAACTCACCGTTTAGTGAAGTTTCCTGGGTCCGGCAGCCATTTTTTCGCCCTCGGTAAGCGAGGGGAGGGCGCGAAAACGCTGCGCGCGGCCATTTCGGGGCTTCCGGCGGCCATTTTGGAACCACCGAACAGCTGATCCACAGTGTCGCAAAGCGAAGATGACGCGATGCCTCCACATTAGCGATCCCGGAAATGGGATCGCTATGCGGATTCATCGCTATACGAGGCGCTCGTTATGCGAGGCACCACTGTATTTGACACAGATGACACCAACTTACTTGGAGAAAGCAGTAATTACTTGAAACGACTGTCAGGAAAAGTGAAAGAAGAAAGTACCAAAGCAAAACTATATTTGAACATTAAAAAAAAAAACAAAAATAATAATTACAGAAGAATTACACAACTTTAACATTGAAGAAACCAAAATAGTTAAGAGATTTTGTATACTTTGAAAAAAACCAAAATAGTTAAGAGATTTTGTATACCTTGAGTCAATCATCAACCCAAATGGAGACTGCAGCCAAGAAATCAGAAGAAAACAGGCTAGGCTAGGATAGGCAGCAATGAAGGAATCAGAACAAATCATCAAGCGTAAGGACATCTCATTGGAGACCAAAGCCAAGATCATCCATGCTACTCTATTCCTGATCACTATGTATGGGTGTGAAAGCTGGATATTAAGAAAGCTGACAGAACATTTGTTTGGTGCTGGAGGATTGATTTGCAGATATCCTGGACTGCTAGAAAGACGAAGAAGTGGGTCCTAGACGAAATTAAACCTGAACTCTCTCTGAAGGCAAAAATGTTGAAACTGAGGCTGTCCAATTTGGGGCACATCGTGAGAAGACAGGATTCTCTGGAAAAGGCAATAATGCCGGGAATGGTTGAAGGCGGCAGGAAAAGAGGATCAAAAGGATTGATTTGCAGATATCCTGGACTACTAGAAAGACGAAGAAGTGGGTCCTAGACGAAATTAAGCCTGAACTCTCTCTGAAGGCAAAAATGTTGAAACTGAGGCTGTCCAATTTGGGGCACATCGTGAGAAGACAGGATTCTCTGGAAAAGGCAATAATGCCGGGAATGGTTGAAGGCGGCAGGAAAAGAGGATCAAATACAAGATGACTTGACTCCTTACAGGAAGCCACAGGATTGAGTCTACAAGAGTTTAGGAGGGCTGTTGAGGGTAGGATACTTTGGAGATTACTCACTCATAGGATCTCCGTAAATTAGAAGCAACAACGTAACAAGTTTGGGTTTTTTTAAGCCTTTAGCAGAAGTAATAGAAAAACATGTTTTTTCCACCTCATACAAAACTGCCTGATGACAACACAGCAAGAATATGGCTTCAGATGCTGGCTTGTTCTGTAAATAATAAAAACTGGATATGAGCAATCTTAGGGAGTACAGAGGCCAAACTGTTGCCTCTACAGTATTTCTCTGGATGGCCTCAGAAATGGCAATTTTTTGTCTTCTAAAAAGTGTAAACAAAAATGGTTTGGGGTCCCTGCAATAACTCCAAAATAAAATTACTGTTCCTAGAGGTTTTCATGAGCAGAAATAGGTACAGTATTTTGAGAGGCAAATAGTGGGGGGAAATCTGCTATTAAATTTGAGGGGTTATTGAAAGGACCCATCTGGATGCTGCTCTTCCTCAGAGCTAAAGAAGAGAGGGAGAGAAGCCAAGCCTGCAGGCTCACCACGGATCACTCACATATCGGGAAACCATGGTTTCCTGTTACATCTGACCAGGGCTAAGCTGCAAGTTACTTCTGTCAGCCTTTAAGCTGAGACTGAAAGCAACAGGTTGTCTATTTATAGCTTGTTTAATAACAAATTTTCATTTCAGTGTTCAGCATCAGTCACAAACAGTATCCAAGCCAAAACACAAATACCTTAATATGCTCATTGTTTTACTATACCAACTATATATTTGACTACAGAGCTTAAAATGGAATGAGTATGAACATCATCTGGTTCTCCTACAACCAAGTGTCTTACCCTTCTCATGAAGACATGTGTGTACTAAATTTTAAAATCATGCACACTTAAATCTACTTTCACCCCTTTCACTGTCTGAAGTGAACTCTCAATTAAATATAGACTTAAATCAGTAATTTAAACAGAAAATCTCCTACCATTTAGCCTCCCATCAAAGTTTGGGTTAGTTGCAACTTTAAGACCAGGGTGCGGCAACAGGAAACAGCCAAGATTACTGAAACATGAGTGAATATGCTTCCTTACATTCTGGAGTTCTTCATGTTGATGTAGCTTTACCTAGGAAGAAGGAAAGAAAAGGGAAAATATTTTAAAAATCTTCTGCAATAAGTTAGCTTTTTGTGCAAAATATTAAAGCTGATCTGTGATCTTGTCCTTTCTCATCTACATCCTTTTTCTTTACTTTATCCAAAGAAGTCACACCGAATTCTTCTAATAAAACCGGTTTATTGTTTAACATAGCTTCATCAATTTGCGAGTCTTGTTTATCATCGTCCAACTTTAACAATAAATCATAAGTCTTAACATTATTAAAACTGGATATCTCTTCACAGTACGACAACGGGGAATAACTTTGTGGGACCATTTGGATCTGGCACTCATCAACTCAGGCATGTTTCTCAGCTGACTTCAAGTTTGTGGACTGGATGTTGAACTTTCCTGGTGTTCCCTTCATTGAGCCATGCATTGTTCTCTGGCGGGGTCTGAAGGGGCTGGGCCCATGGGATTTCTCTGGACCCCACTGTACATCTGCCTTTCTCTCCTCTGTTCTTCCCTCTTTACCCCCGCTTTGTACTCCTTCCTTTGCTTTCGCTCCTCAGTCTCCCCCCAGTAAGGTGGCTTTCTATACATCTGTCGTCTCCATTCCCTTTCAGCGTACTCATGGGGCACCTTGAATTCTACCCACTCTCCTGTCCAAGGGTCTTCTTGGATCAATTCTACAAGTTCTTCTTCCTTGTCTCCTTTCTCTTCTCTTCCCCAACATGTTTCTGCCCTCACCCCTCCTTCTCCCTCCTTCTTATCCTCTTCCTTTCCCACCTGATTTGTGCCCCCTTCAGTCTCTTACTTCTAGTTTACTTAATTCCTTTTCTATCACTACTGTCTTTGACAGTACACTCTCCTGATCCTGGACGAGTTGGTTCTTCGCCTCACATGATCGAATCTTCAAATAAATACTTGTGTGTTCTATCTCAGGGGTTGTCAGCCCCCGGTCCGTAGCCTTGCAGGAACTGGGCCATGGATACGGATCTTCGCCCCCCTGCACATACGTGCGGTGGCTGTGTCGCCCGTGTGGTGGGCGTGTCATGCTCACATGGTGGCCGTGTCACGCTCACATGCACGTGCACGATGCCCTTCACGCGAGGGTGCCCACTCGCATGGAGCTTACTCCCCCCAACTGGTCCACGGCCCCAAAAAGATTGAAGAACACCGTTTTATCTGGAAACCTGTTAATGGTTACAAACATAGACTTATGATTATACAATACAACGTAGCTTACCTGCAATCTCTTTTCTAGAAATTGTTTTCCTCCTATTAAGCCATATGGATGTTCATAAGGATAGCTCCAGTCTCTAATTAAGAACATAAGTGTCTATATGGGAAAATCAGATAAAACAATTAACTATAATCATAGTAACCAGAAAACACAATTATAAAATTTCTAACTTTATGTGAGACAACCGGTAGTTTAAAGAACAGATTCTAACAATAACAAAAACCCAGTTATTTAGAAAACTGTGTAATAATATTGCTGAAATCTAACTGGATCTGTGTCAACATTTCCAAAAAGATCCCATTCTAATCTACTGCTTTATCATGTACTGCATAGCGTATAACCAAGCGCAAGAAAACAGCTCTGGTATGAATAACAGACTCAAAATTACGAATTCCTAAAATAACCTTGTAAAGAACATCACAAAGTTACTTTCCCAAATAAAAACATACTACCCCAGCATTTCTGAATTGGAGGGCTTCTGCAATGCAGCCTGGCCAGTACCTCATCTGTAGCTTTTTAGCTAGATGGGTGCCAAAAGCCCAAGAGCAGCTCCCTGTAGGCCTGGTGCCATAGATCACACACTCTTGACAGAGAGCTGGTTAGACAAAAAGAAAGACTGCAGCATGCAAAACTGAGGAGAAGGTACGAGGAAACAGACAACAGACAGAACGGCCAGCAGAGTGCAAGGACAAGGCAAAACCGTGGGAAGAAGGGGGGCAGAAATGGGCATTCAGGAAAGGGAGAAGGAGGCAAGGGGAAGGGGAAACGCTGGAGGCTGCAACTCGGCTTTTCATCCACAGCAACAGCAGCTCACAGAAGCAGCTTGGCACTGGGCCAGGAACGAGAGACACTCTGCGTGACCCTGCACGACAGGGACAGGAAGAGAAAGTGAAACCGAGTTAAGGTGACAGAGAGAGAGAGAGGGTTCAGGGGAAAATCTCCTTTGGGCAAAGAGACTAAGGGGGCTCTGAAGGAAATCAGAGAGATACATGTTAACGAGGACAACAAGGATAACACAAGTAATAGAGAAGAGGTGCAACAGGAAAGTCATTATAGGAGATAAATAAATGCAAGAGCAGTAGGAGGAAGGTACAGTCAACCTTCGACTTACAAACGGCCCTAGTTACGAATATTTCAACTTATGAACAATAAATAAATAAATGAATAAATAAAATAAAAACAGGACCACTCTGTTAGAAAAAAATGGCATTGACTTGCGAACGGAGCATCGACCTACGAACGAGGCTCTGTTCGCAAGTCGATGCCAACGGAGCAATCGGCGCCTTCAGAGCTCTCAAAGGGCTTCCTCCAATGTTGGGGGGGAAAACCGTTTGAGACCTCCAAAGTCAAAAAGGTAGGGCGAAAGGGCGGGAAATTTGAATTTCCTGCCCTTTCTCCCTGCCTTTTTGGCTTCAGAGCTTTCAAACAGCTTCTTCCAATGTTGGGGGGAAAGCCCTTTGAAACCTCCGAAGGCACCAATCACGGCAGCGGGGACCCCCAGGGAGGTCTCCCATGGTGGCAGGCCAGCCCTGGGAGAC